CTCTTAGCAGAATAACGGTTTTTCTTTTTTTTCTTTTTTGTCACTTCACAATTCTTTTATGACTGACTTTTTTTTCTTGTTTTCTTTTCTAGGTTTTTCTTTTTCAAAATTTCAGAGTTATCATTTTTTGGCTAATGAATAACTTATGATGACCTGGGATTCTATTTGGTGATATCCAGTATTTTAAACCTTTGATATTTGACAAACCTCCCAAGATCAGATTCTAAGTTAAAAAAAAAAAAAAATTAAGTCACCTAAAGTCCAAAAAGACATTTTCAGCTTATTTAATGTATTAAAATCATGCAGGAACCACTGTCAAATTTAAAATAAGTGTTTAATTTTCTTTGGGTTATATTCATATAAATATGTTATTAGTATGTATTACAAAATTGTATAACAGTCCTATAATTCTGATATGCCTCAGTATATGTTATCAGTAATAATTATAATTGTTATGTTAAATTATTGTGTGCCACAGAGGTAACAAATTTCCCTGTCAATTTTGTCTTTTACTGTGGCTGCCCTAAAATGTTTTTGTCATACACAATTATCTCGTTTTGATCCTCTTTAGAAGGCGGTTTTATAATCAGCTATAAAACTTTGAGAGGTGCTCTTGAATGCAAGGTTCTGATAACTTTGGAGATTATGACATTAGCGTAAGGGGAAAACACTTTTGGCACTCTCATGGAGAGCTGAAATGTTCATGAATATCAAGTAGAACAGAAGTTAACTGAATGGACTGAACTAAAAGAAGACTGAGGTAGCCTTTTTTTTTTTCTTAACTTTTTTGCTTAAAATGTTGTTAATTCTTTTTGTTTTCCAGAGGTAAGAAAACTTTTTTTTTTTTTAGCTATTTTACAGCCTTTAACAACTGAGTAAAAGACACTCCTATGAACAAAATTTGGAGCATATTTCTTTCTACCTGATTTCTCCAGAATTTGAGAATTATTTGCGAGTATTCTCAATTTATGGTAGTATGGTTATTTGCATAAGTGTGATAAGTATCTGTTATCTTTTGTAACGGGACATAATTGGAGAAACTGGTTAAAAAGATTTAATTTAGAATTCTAAATTTCATTTAGAATTCAGGGAAGCTGTCAAAAATGCCAAAAGCTTTGAACACTTGATTAAATAGGATCATAGTTCACTGTGAAACAACACTTTAACAAATTCTTGAATTGCTTGAACCCGGAGGCAGAGGTTGCAATGAGCCAAGACCACATCATCATACTCCAGTCTGGGCAAGAAGAGCTAAACTGTCTCAAAACAAACAAACAAAAAACCAAAGTGAACGATTGAAACCACCACTGCAAAATTGTAAACTGAGACAGTGAAAGAGAGCTGTCCTTGTTCATTCCTGGGCACAGGCTGAGCTAACTTTGGGAGGAACTTAGCTTAGAGTTTGTAGTTAAAAACAAACAGAAAAACAGTCCCTTCCCAAAACAAACTTCCTTCTTGCCTAGGGACTAAACTTTTTATGATTAACAAATTAGCCACAAGATTAGAAATTATGGTTTAGAAGTCATACAGTTGGAGGCTACAAGATTTGGACTCTCCCTAAACTGTTTCTAAGATCATGCTTGGGATATTTTGCAGACCCTGCACTTGATGGATCAGCTGGCACCACCCAGATGGATAAACTGGCTCATCTGATCTGTGGCCCCCACCCAGGAACTTACTCAACACATGAAGACAGCTTTAATTCCCTAGGATTTCAACTCCAACCCAACCAATCAGCACTCCTGACTCACTGGCTGTCCCTGACCCACCAAGTTATCCTTAACAAGTCTGATCCCTGGGCTGGGTATGGTGGCTCAGGCCTGTAATCCCAGCACTTTGGGAGGCCCAGGAGGGCGGATCACCTGAGGAGTTCCAGACCAGCCTGGTCAACATGGCGAAACCTCGTCTCTACTAAAAGTACAAAAACTAGCCAGGTGTGGTGAGGGGTGCCTGTAATCCCAGCTACTCAGGAGGCTGAGGCAGGAAAATCACTTGAACCCAGGAGGCACAGGTTGCAGTGAGCTGTGATTATGCCACTGCACTCCAACTCTAATCCCTGAATGCTCCTTGGGGAGACTGAGTAACAATAAACCTCCAGTCTTCAAAAAAAAAAAAGTCTGCCTTACTATTTCAATAACTTTCAGAAATTTGTTTTTCATTAATACCACCTAGGAATCAGTGACTGTGTTTTATTAGGATAATTTCTAGTGCTTTATCATATCCTTATTTAAGGGAACTAAATCTTTTCACCTTAAAAAAAGCTATTTTTTTCTTACAATCATAGAATCTCCTATGCCTTTTGTTGTTTTTGTTGTTGAGATTGTCACTCTGTCACCAGGCAGTTAATTATCCATTTAATTAAAGTAACAATAAAAATAGCCATAGGAAGCTGGGCCAGGGGGGTCACGCCTGTAATCCCAGTACTTTGGGAGGCCCAGGAGGGTGGATCACAAGGTCAAGAAATTGAGACCATTCTGGCCAACATAGTGAAACCCCATCTCTACTTAAAAAAAAAAAGAAAAATTAGCTGGGTATGGTGGCATGTGCCTGTTGTCCCAGCTACTCAAGAGGCTGAGGCAGAATTGCTTGAACCTTGGAGGCAGAGGTTGCAGTGAGCTGAGATTGTGCCACTGTGGGACCCTGTCTCTACAAAAAATTTTAAAAATTAACTTGGCATGGTGGTGTGCACTTGCACCCAGTTACTCAGGAGGCTGAGGTGGGAGGATGGCTTGAGCCCAGGAGGGTCAAGGCTGCAGTGAGCCATGATCACAGCATTATGCTCCAGCCTGGGTGACAGAGTAAGATCCCGTCTCAAAATAAATAAATAAATAAAAATACTTAGGTTAAAATCTAACAAAAGTTATAGAAGACCTATCTTGTGAAAAGTACAAAACGTCACTAAGGTAAATTTTAAAAGACCTAAATAAAAGTTAATGGGTTAGAAGACTGAGTATGGTTAAAATGTCAATTCTCCCCAAATTGACCTGTAGAGTCAACACAATCTCAATCAAAATCCCAGCAGTCTTATTTTTTTATGCAAAATGACAAGTTGACTCTTAAGATTTATTAGGAAATCTGGGCCGGGAGTGGTGGCTCACGCCTATAATCCAAGCACGTTGGAGGCCAAGGCGGGTGGATCACCTGAGGTCGGGGGTTCAAGACCAGCCTGACCAACACGGTGAAACCCCATCTTTATTCAAAAAAAAAAAAAAAGGAAATTTGAAGAATCTAGAAGATACAAAGCAACCTTGAAAAATAAAGTTGTAGGAAATAAACTACCTGATTTCATCACTTATTTATATAGCTATAATAATCAAAACAGCATGGTGCTGGTGGCAAAAAGACAAACAGCTCAATGGAACAGAAGAGGAAGCCTAACGAAACACATATATGTGCAACACAGATTTTGACAAAAGCACAAAGAAAATGCAGTGGAGACAAAAATAACTTTTCAACAAATGATGCTGGAATATTTGCATATATATACATGCAAAAAATGAACTTTGGCCCCTATCTTACATTGTGTACAAAAGTTAATTAAAAGTCGATCCTATCCTATGAGCCCAGGAGGCTGAGGCTGCAGTCAGCTGTGATCACACCACTGCACTCCAGCCGGGGCAACAGAGTGAGACTCTACCTCAGAAAAAAAAAAAAAAAAAAGTAGATCCTAGACCTACCTGATACAACTCCCTGGTTAAAGCAGTAATATTTCTAGAAGAAATCATAGGAGAAAATATTCAAAATTGTGGAGCTGAAGTGTCTATCAAATACTAAACTTATTTTTAACCACCTCGACCAAAAGTAATTGGTTTATATACTTCATCATGTCATCATTTAATTCTAAACCAACAGAGATCAATATCACTTTCTCAGTAAGAAAGTACTTGGGTCTACAATAAGCTGAACTCTCTGAAGTAAACCATAACGCTGTATCTCCAGGGTAGAGTTTATTAGAGGAATAACTTGTGATAATGATAGATATTGACCAAAGATTCAGCCTAGGAAGTGGCATTTTGAGGCTGCATATACTCAAGGCAATTCTTCAGAATCACAGATCCAACTGACATCTGAAAGAACAGCTGAGAGTGAATGAATAAATACATGAAACAGAGACCTGAGTAGACGGTAGTTGATACTGTTGTACATATATTCTACCTTTAGGTTCAATAAAAAGAACTAAAAGTAGGTAGGTTTAATACCAACATCTCCATCAGTTACCAGCCGTAACACCTTGGACTAGGCAGGTAACTTGCCCCGAATCGGGTTGCTTCCGGGGCGGGCCTCCGCGGGCGGGAAGTTTGAGCCTGGGAGCCCGCAGTGCAGGGCAGCTGGAGGACCGAGCCCTTGAGGGGGCTCGCCGGGATAGTCGGGAGTCCCCGGCGGATCGGCGGCCTGAATGTGAGGTCTGGGGTCACCCCGCGGTGATCTCAGGTCCTGGGGTGCCCCCACAGGAATTTGCTGCCTCAGGAATCCGAAGTCTCATTCACTCCCCTACTGAGGATCTAAGGTCTCGAGGTCCTCCCGCGGAGGTCTGAGGTCTCCGGGTTCCCCATCCCCTGGATCGGAGGTCCAGGTCCCCCGAGCCGGCAGGGCGGTGGGTTAGGCCCGGAGCTGTAACGTGGCGCGCCGGCCCCAGGGGTGTCGGGCTGGAGGGGGGCGGAAGGTGCCGAAAGTCCGCACAAAGTCGTCCGCTGGGGTCCAGCCGCGCCCGCAAGGCAGTGACTGTGCCCCCTCCGCTTCCTGACCCTCGGCTCAGGTGAGCGCAGGTGAGGGGCCGGGAACCTTCTAAGTCACTAATGGAAACAGAAGGCTAATTCCGGGGCTAGGGACCGTCGTCCTCGTTACCCGCAAGAGGAGAGAAAAACCCGCGGTCCCGCGGCCCCGCGGCCCCGCGGCCCCGCAGCCCAGCAGCCCGAAGCGCGGCGAGGCGAGGCGGGGCCAGGCCCTCCCCCGGGTCTGAGCTCCCGCCAACCTCCCGCCCTGGCCGGAGACCTCCCGGAAGAGCGGATCCCGTGGAGCGCAGAGAGGGCGGGGCGCTCGCCGTGCGCATGCCCAGTGACCGCCCGCGCCTGCAGGCTGGCTGGCGTCGCGCTGTCCGGCGCGTCAGACTCCGCGGTCCGTCATGGCGGCCCCCATCCTGAAAGGTGAGTGACTTCCTGCTCCCTGCGCCAGCAGCGGGGGAGTTTGAGGACCGACACTCTTGGTGGCAGGAGCACTCAGGGGGGTCCCATGAGAGCAGCCCGCTGGCCCCTCCCTCGCTGACTGTCGCCCCCCGACCTCCTGCCGCCTGCTCCCTCCCCCGCTGCCTGGTCCCCAAAACCTCGGCTGCCTGCTTCCTTCCCCGTGCTCCCTGTCCCTCCAAAACCCCCGGCTGCCTGCTCTCTCCCCCGCTGCTTGGCCCCCCAAAACCCCCGACTGCTTGCTTACTCCGCCGTGCTCCTTGTCTGCCCACAACCCCCACCTGCCTGCTTCATTCCCCATGCTCCGTGGCTCTCCCAAACCCCCGACTGCCTGCTTACTCCGCCGTGCTCCCTGTCTCCCCAAAAGTTCCAGCTGCCTGCTTCCTCCCCCATGCTCCCAAAACCCGCCTCTCACTACCTGCTGCCACCCCTGCTGCCTTAGTCTGTGGACCCGGGGCTCACGGGCAGGCAGAGTCCTGCCCTCGGGAAGTTCGTGTGGGGCCCTCCTGGGTCTGGTCGTGTTCAATCCCCCCACTGAGGCCCACCTGGAGGGGCGGCAGTTGTGTTTCTATGCGAATTGTTCCAAGAATTGGAGCTGCCTTTTACTGCGGAGTCCTTGTGTGCCAGGCGCTGTGCACAGGCTAGTATGGTGGTGTCTGATTTTTAACCGCCCCACCAATTCTGTTACCTCAATTTACAGGTGGGAAAACTAAGGCCTGGGGCAAACGTTTGGGTGCCTCTCCCACTGTGTGTGGCCAGTCAGTGTTACAGGGCTTTAGACCGGAGCTGCTGTCCTAACCAGTATAGGATACCGTACCCGGTTCCACCCGCTGTGCACCTGGAAGAGCCCAGGGGAGGAGAACAGCGGACACAGGTCTTTTAGAGTTTGGCCGTGGGATAAAGAGGGGCCTGGAGTCATAAAACCTCATAGCGAAAAGAAAAGGTTTATACAAACTCTGTAATCAGATGTGGCTATTTTTCTAATGTTAGCATTTTGTTATATTAACCTGGTTTTCCTTTAGGGTTGTTCACAATCTTTGACCGATGGTATGCCTCGAAAACTCTTTTAAACATCAGGTTTTGAGAAGAGGATATCCACTAGAACAGAGGTCCACAGACTATGCACCCCAGGCCAAATCTGGCCTGCTGCCTGTTTTTGTAGGATCTATAAGCTGAAAATGTCTTTTAGATTTTTAAGTGATTTTAAAAAAAGAAGGACAAATGAAAAATTATATTACATTCACATTTCCTTCTCCACAAAGAAAGTTTTATTGGAACACAGGCTGGCTCATTAATATATTGTCTGTGCTGCAACCATGAAGTTGAGTAGTTGTGACAAATACTGTTTGGCCATAAAGCCTAAAATATTTACCGTCTGTCCCTTTGCAGAAAACAGATTTCTGCATTCGAAAAATTAAGCCTAAGAATTTGGGGAAAGCATCTAATTTTAGGAATGTAAACTGTGATGGATGTATGGGTACATTTTTTTTGCTAAAAATTTTAATAAATTGCACTGAAGCTATTTTCAATAAGCTTTTAGTAGAAATTTATGAGACAGAGTCTCACTCTGTTGTCCAGGTTAGAGTGCAGTGACGTGATCATATAATAGCTCACTGCAGCCTCAAACTCCCAGGCTTAAGCAATTCTACTGTTTCAGCCTCTGAATAACTTGGGACTACAGACACTTCCATGCCTGGTTATTTTTATTTTAAATTTATTTTTATTATTATTTTTTTTTCTGTAGAGCCAGGGTCTCATGATGTTGCCTAGGCTGGTCTCGAATTCCTAGCCTCAAGCAGTCCTCCCGCCTCCACCTTCCAAAGTGCTGGGATTATAGGCATGAGCTAGTTTGCTCAGCCTTTAGGAGAAACTTGATTTATTTTTCTTATTTTTGAGGCAATTTCTTGCTCTGTTGCCGAGGCTGGAGTGCAATGATGCGATCATAACTCAGCTTCTCCACCCTCTCTATCCCGTCTTCCCACCCAGTAGCTGGAACTACAGCTGCTCAAAGCTATTCCTGGCTAATTAAAAAAAAAAAAAAAATGTAGAGACAGGGTTTCACTGTGTTGCCCAAGCTGGTCTCAAACTTCTGGGCTCAAGTGATCCCACTGTCTTGGCCTTCCAAAGTGCTGGAATTACACCATGAGCCACTATGCCTGGCCAGTAGAAGAAATTTTCCATTTACTCTTAAATAGAACAAAATCTATTGGGCAGGGGATGCTGGAATTACAAATGTATATTTCATGCTCATATATTGTTTTCAGATGTAGTGGCCTATGTTGAAGTGTGGTCATCCAATGGAACAGAAAATTATTCAAAGACATTTACAACACAGCTTATGGATATGGGGGCAAAGGTAAGACATTTATTTTGCTGTCGATTCATATGACTGTCTTCTGATAGGTAAAAAGTTACATTTGCATTTTCTTATTTTGGGAGTTATTACTTTAAATATGAAGGACAGAGCAATAGAAAGCAGTAGGAGAAAAAAGGGCCAAAGTGTGAAGAATTTAGAACAGTAGAACTTACAGAACAGTTGGGCCTATGGACATTGAGTGAGGAGGAGGAACCTAGGATAAAAATCTGGATTCTTACATTGATTGCATGGGTACATTAAGCAAAGTGAGGAATACAGGAAAAGGATTAAGTTTCTAAGGGAAAAGTTGTAAATTTGGGCATATTGAAAATATCTGCTAGCCATATGGATATACAAGTCCGGAACTTGAAGTGTTCAAAGCTAGAGGTGATGATTTGGGGGGGTCAAGACCATAGGGGTCATGTGAAGTCACAGGCGTGGATGCCATCCCAGGTCTGGCATGGTTAGCATGAAGAATGGTGATGGAGGAGCCTTGTTCAGTGTTGAAGAACAGGCAATGGGAGCAGGGACCTAGTGACAGAAGGAGAGAAGAATGTCAGGAGAAAGAACATGTGTGGAAGTCAAAGGAGGGAGTCATTTTTTAATTGTCTTTCAGAGCTAGGCAGGAGTAATTTTAAAGATAGAATTTTTTAAAGCTGCAGAAACTTCAAGAAAGATAGGACTGTCAAATGTACTTTGGATTTGAACACTCTAAGGTCATTGCTGAACTTAGTGCAGTTTTCAGTGAAATGGGCAAGAAACATTGAGGTATGAGGAAATGGAGATAGCAAAACAATTTGCCTTATTCAAGGTTTCTTAACATAGCCATTGCTGTTATCAGATTTACTATCACATAGTGCTTGTGTTCAAGTAACATTTATTTGACATAATAATATCCTTGATACCGAATAGGTATGTTTTGCCCACACACATTAAACCAATCACTGTGATGATGGGTTTTGCAAAAGGAAAAAGATTCATTCACAGGGAAGCCCAGCCAGGAGGCAAAAGAGTACTCACATCTTCGTTCTCAAAGATAAGGCTTAGGGATATTTATCAGTTAGGGAAGTGAGGTAATCTAAGCTGTGGGGAGAAATGAAGTAATCACTCAGTGATCTGCATGAGCGTAGTTGGGTTCATGGGATGCATGTTTAGAAAGCAGGCGCAATTGGGAGGCCAAGGCTGACAGATCACCTGAGGTCAGGAGTTCAAGTTCAGCCTTGCCAACAGGAAACCCTGTCTCTACTAAAAATACAAAAAATTAGCCGGGTGTGGTGGCACATGCCTGTAGTCCTAGCTACTTGGGAGGCTGAGGCAGAAAAATAACTTGAATCCGGGAGGCATAGGTTGCAGTGAGCTGAGATCACGCCACTACACTCCAGCCTGTGGACAGAGCAAGACTTCATCTCAAAAACAAAAACAAAAAACAGGCTCTAGTAGGATCTGTTGGTGGAAATTTTGGTCTGATGTCAAAAAGTTACTTCTTGGCATTTGCACAGGTATAGTTGAAGGGTTGGTGGTTGCAGCCTGTTTGAACTGTACGGGTGCTGCGTCAAGTTCCTGAAAAATAGCTTAAGCAACTGTTACCATGGTGGCACGTCCACCAGAAGTGTTAAAAGGAGACCAGTGAAGGTCGTTACAGCATTTAGCAGCATGACTTGCAGCTAGCTATATAGGAATAAGTAAATAAATGACAAAAAGCAAGTGACCAAAAGCAAGCAAAGCAGATTAAATTTGACAGACCTAATTTTCAGCCCCAAAGTGTAAGAGTGGTGATGCTGGCAATTCAGATATGCCAGAGAAGCCTTTAGGTGCTTCCTTTAAGTGAAAAGGTGAAAGTTCTCCACTTTAAAGAAAGGAAAAAAATTGTATGCTGAAGTTGCTCAGATCTACAGTGAGAACAAATCTTCTAATCTTGAAACTGTGAAGATGGAAAACTATGCTAGTGTTGCAGTCACACCAAACTGCAAAAGTTACAGTCACCTGGGTGATAATTTTTCTTATAATACATTGTTACAATTGCCCTATTTTGTTATTCTTATTGTTAATCTGTGCCTAATTTGTAAATAAAACTCTTATTGTGTATGTATGTATAGGAAAAAACAGTATATAACCCATTCAGTACTAGTCAAGGATTCAGGCATCCACTGGGGGTGGGGTGGGGGGTGTCTTAGAACTTAACCCCCATGGTTAAGGAGGAACTAATATACTCTTGTAGGGAGTTTAGCTGTGAACAAAGCCTCTTTCTGGCATTTGGGAGGGGCTGACTGATAGGCTGAGTAAAAGAGATCCATTAAAATGGGTGAAAAGATTAGTGGGGGGTGGGCAGTGGCTCAGGCCTGTAACCCCAGAACTTTGGGAGACTGAGGTGGGTGGATCACGAGGTCAGGAGATCAAGACCATCCTGGCCAACATAATGAAACCCTATCTCTACTAAAAATACAAAAAAATTAGCCGGGTTTGGTGGGGCATGCCTGTAGCCCCAGCTACTCTGGAGGCTGAGGCAGGAGAATTGTTTGAACTCGGGAGGCGGACGCTACAGTGAGCCGAGATCATGCCACTGTACTTGGTGACAGAGGAAACTCAAAAAAAAAAAAAAAAACATGAGATGGAAAGATAATTGAAGGTAGAGTTGGGTTAGGGTGTAACTGGGTATAAAACTGCCTGGGTGTAAAACTTAAGAGGCACTCACCACCAGGCAAAGAGTGGGTGCTACTAAATTTTTCACCCTAACGGCCTTGTTTGGCCTCCCTAGTGTCTACCTTGAGTAAAAGGTCAGTGGAGAGGAATCAGATTATAGGAGCAGGACCCACAGTGCAGGAGGGGAGACACGCCTATTGTGATACATTGGAATGTAGGAGCCTGAGGGAGTGCGCATGTTCTGATGCCTAAAATTTACTTGGGATTAAGACAAGTTAATTGTGCGTGAGAAAAAAGCCTTGAGACAAGTGAGCTGACAAGGTGGTTTTTCAGGGTAACATTAAGATCTTAGCTCTTTTGCATCTTTTTGGTATTCACCTTTTATTTCAAAAATTTGCAAACAAAGTTGAAAGAATAGTGAATATAGATTTAACAGTCGTTAACATCTGAACATACTTGCTTTATCTCTATTTCTGTGTACGATGTATTTAGATGTGTACTTGTATTTTTCTCCTGAACTATTTGAAGGTAAGTTGCAGACCTCTTAATTTGCCCATAAATACTCATTATGCATCATCTGAAAACAAAGACATTTTCCTGTATAACAAAAATACCGTGATCACATCTAAGGAAATTAGCAATGATTTCTTAACAGTCTTCTGAAGTGGTTGGATCAGTTTATACTTATATAAATGTATGAAAGTTCCCATTGCTGAATATGCTTGGTTTTGTCAACCTTTATTTTCAGCCATTCTGGTGTGTTTGTATATCATTGTGCTTTGAATTTGCATTTATTTTGGAGTATATATTCAAGCCTCCAGCTTATATTTCGATTGGGTTTATCTCTTCTTCTTGATTTGTAGGTATTCTCTATGATTTAGAATTGACTCTTTTATCACCCAAATGAATTGCAGTATTTTTGTCACTCTGGCTTGTCTTTCGTCTTCAAAATGGTATCTTTTGGTGACAATTTTAATGTAGTTAAATTTATTTTTTTATTCTATGGTAAACTTTTTTGTGTGTCTTGGTTTTAAAAAAACCTGTTTCTATACGAAGGTTATAAAGATTTTCTCTTGTTATTTTCTGGAAGCTTTCATCATTTTGCCTTTCATACTTAACGTATACCTGGAATTGATTTTTTTCACATGCCATAAAGTAGTTGTCTCATTTTTCCTACATGCATATTTGTCTCAACATAATTTATTGAAAAAAACCTTTAATCAAGGTCTGAACTACTACTTCTGTTTTAAATCAGGGATCCGTATATGTCCCGTCTGTTCAACAGCTCTCTGTTTGTAACCACCCAGTGGATTCATCTTGCCTGCTGCCTAGACAGAGCCGATTTATCAGGACAGAAATTACATTAGAGAAAGAGTAATTCACATAGAGCTGGCTGAGTGGGCTACCGAGATTTATTATTACTCAAATCAGTCTCCCTGAGCATTTGGGAATCAGAGCTCTTAAGGACACCTCGGTGGGTGGGGGGAAGCCAGAGAGCCAGGAGTGCTGATTGGTCAGGTCAGAGATGAAATCAAAGGAGGAAAGCTGTCTTCTTGCACTGAGTCCTGGGTGGGAGCCATGAGATCAGATGAGCCAGTTTATCCCTATGAGTGGCGCCAGCTGATCCACTGAGTGTAGGGTCTGCAAAATATCTCAAGCATTGATATTAGGAGCGGTTTAGGGAGGGTCAGAACTTGTAGCCTCCAGCTTCGTGACTCCTAAACTGTAATTTCTTTTTTTCTTTATTTTTTTTTGAGACAGAGTCTCACTCTGTCGCCAGGCGCCAGTGGCAAGATCTTGGCCCTCTACAACATGTGCCTCCCGGGTTTAAGCAGTTCTCCTGCTTCAGGCTCCTGCAAGTAGCTGGGACTACAGGCGCACACCACCACACCCAGCTTATTTTTGTATTTTAGTAGAGACAGTGTTTCACTGTGTTGGCCAGGATGGTCTCGATCTCTTGACTTCATGATCCGCCTGCCTCGGCCTCCAAAAATGCTGGGATTACAGGTGTGAGCCACCACGCACAGCCCTAAACCGTAATTTCTAATTTTGTGGCATTAGTCCTACAAAGGCAGCCTACTTCCCAGGCAATAAGGACATTTGGGGAAAGGACTCTTATGTTCTTTGTTTTAAACTCTAAACTAAGTTCTTCCCAGAGTTAGTTCAGCCTATGCCCAGGAATGAACAAGATCATCTTGGAGGTTAGAAGCAAGATGGAGCTCACGTCTTTAATGCCAGCACTTTGGGAGGCCAAGGCGGGCAGGTCACGAAGTCAGGAGATCTAGACCATCCTGGCCAACATGGTGAAACCCCTCTGTCTACTAAAATACAAAAAATTAGCCGGGCACAGTGGTGGGCACCTATAGTTCCAGCTACTCGGGAGGCTGAGGCAGGAGAATCGCTTGAACCCGGGAGGCAGAGGCTGCAGTGAGCCGAGGTCACGCCAGCTTGGAGACAAAGCAAGCCTCCATCTCAAAAAAAGAGAAAAAAAAAAGGCTTAAAAAAGAGCAGGAATGGAAGCTTATTTAAAAAGGCATTAGAACAAGAAAGGAAAGAATTGAAAGACAGTCAAGTGGACTCACAAAGGCCAAAGAGAAAAGTGGGAGAAGAGGCGAGCACCTGATCCTGGGACTGTATAAGCTCACTTCCTTACCTTTGGAAGTGAGCATGCGCAGCGTGTTTAGGGGGTTACACGCATACGCTTCTGAGCCCCGCCCCCTTGTCTTTGATATTTGTATTTGTATTTGTATTTTTTGAGATGGAGTCTCACACTGTTGCCCAGGCTGGAGTGCGATGGCTCAATCTCTGCTCACTGCAACCTCCGCCTCCTAGGTTCAAGTGATTCTCCTGCCTCAACCTCCCCAGTAGCTGAGCTTACAGGCACGCACCACCATACCTGGCTAATTTTTGTATTTTTAGCAGAGACCGGCTTTTGCCATGTTGTCCAGGATGGTCTCGAACTCTTGACCTCATGTGATCTGCCCGCCTCAGCCTCCCAAAGTGCTGAGATTACAGGTGTGAACCGCCACACCCAGCCTCCTTTGGTTTTAATTGAATGACTTTTTCTAATTTTTTGGATGACTGCACTGATTTTCAACCTTACTTTGAATTTATGCATTTAAGATACACGTTTTTCTCTAAGTGGGGTTTCAGCTGCATTCCGCGGGAAGTCTTCATCTGGTACATTGCAGCATGTACCTGTTTTTATTTTTTGTTTTATCCAGTGGTTTCTGTTCTTCTGTTCCTCCTATGCTTGTTTTTTTATTTGTTGTTCACATTTAAAAAATTTTAAGCATGTATTTAAAATTATTTGTAAATAATTTGAGGCCTAGAATTGTATTATCTTTTTTCAAAAGAGATTTAGATTTATTTCCACTACGGTATTTATAGTACTCATAATCCAGGGTTATCTTAAGCCAGTTTCAGGATTTGAGATGATTTAAAACTACACTGCAGGCCTGTAAGGGTCATTATAATTTCTGCTTCACCCTTATCTAGATGCAGCCTTTTGAGTGTAAACCCAAGGTGTACGGGTTTTTTCAGACCCCCTTCTCTCTTTGAGGCTTGTTTATCAATTTTTGTCCCGTTTAGTATTAGCTACATTTGATAAAAATCTTGAGGTAAAATGGCCTCAAATGCTAGACTCATCTCTCTAGGTGTCTTCTGTTTTTTTCTTTTTTCTTTTTACTTGACTGTTGCAATGAAGCAGGTGTCAGTCTTGATCTAGAATCTCAGTTGGGTAATTCTTGACCGCCTTGATAGCTTCTATGGACTTGGCAGGGGTGCAGAGATTGAGAGAGAGAGAGAGTCATAGAAGTAATAACTATTCATTGTTTAAAAAGACTAATGGGCAGTGCCATGAAGTTCACAACGAAAGCAAAGAGACACCAGCAACGCTTTCCCGTACATTTCCTTTTCTGTTTTTCAAAGACAGCTACTTTCAGACCATCTGTTTGTTTTGGTATTTGCCTTCATACTTCCAAACCGTGTACATATATTCTTTCAGTATAATTGAATGCTATAAAAAATTATGTGAATGAGTTCTACTTCTGGAAAGGATACATAAAAGGTAAAATTTTTGACACCATGAATGTCTGAACATGCCTTTATTATACTGTTAACTTTTACTAATATTTTAGCTGATTGTAAAATGCTAGCACAAATATTATTTTTTCTTTAAGGTATTTCCCATTGTTTACTCACTTCCAGACTGTTGTTAATAAGACTAAGTTGTCACTTATCATTGTTTGCATGTGATGTGTCTCCATCCTCTTCACCTTGATTTCCCACTCTTTAAATATTTTTCTCCTTTGCCAACCATGCCGGAATTCTGTGATAAGCTTGATGTAGTGCTGTTTTCATTCTTATGCTGGCATTTTATGGGGCATCCTTTTGATCTAAAATGCTTGTCATTTAGTTCGAGAAACTTTTATTATTTCTTTAATAGTATCTTCTCCATTTTTTGTATTTCTGTATTTCTTTAACTCCTGTTGATTGGCTGTTGGATCTCCTGGACTGAGCTCCTGATGTTTTTGCCTTTTGTCTCCTGTTGTGTCCATCTTCCGGTCCTTTTGTTATACTACCGTGGAGCTTTTCTCAACTTCATTGTCTAAAATTTCTGTAGAAATTTTTTTTACTTATGTCATCTTTTTTTTAATTTCCAAGAGTCTTTGGGATCCTATTTAAAAAGTATCTTCTGATCATGTTGCATGAATACAGTATCTTAAGATACTGAGTGTTTTTAATTTTGGTTAAATATGTGTTCTGTTTTCTCTGTTGTCTCTGAGTTTCATTTGGTTTTATTTTCTTTCATGTAGAAAACTTTTCTGAAATGTCCATAATTATCTGACTCTTTCCATCTTCTAAAGATGTGGTACCTTCTCATGGCCACGTTTTCTCTTCTGTTCTCTTTATTCTTGCAGGGTTCCAACTCTTTATTCTTTCAGTGACACTTCAGAGGATTTTTAGAGGGAGAAGATGTGAACTTGTGTGTATAATTCACCATTCTAGCTGAAACAGTTATGTTTTAAGCAGCGTTATGCATTCCTTCGAGTGTTTCTGTCAGATTCTGAGAAACAGAATTGTTGGGGTCTGATTTTTTGATCAGTTGTACTTAAGAAGTTGTGAATGAACAGTAATGTACATTTTGTTTTCTGCATTTTGTCTACAGGTTTCAAAAACTTTTAATAAACAAGTAACACATGTTATCTTCAAAGATGGCTACCGGAGCACTTGGGACAAAGCTCAGAAGAGAGGCGTAAAGCTCGTTTCAGTGCTCTGGGTTGAAAAGTAAGCAGTTTCTCTCTTACTTTTTTCCTTAAGTATCTAGCATTGAAAAAGTGTGGGGATATTTTGCACAGATCACAGAACTAGTTAAAGTTTGATTTTCATATTTTCTGTGCCTCTTACCTCACCAAGTAAGGACATCCTCTAGTCTCAATTTCTGCAGTACAAAAATGGGTGTACTATAATGCCTAACTTTGCCTAGAGGGAAAAGGAGCCTGCGGGTCCTAAAGCTGGGGTATACAAGGTGGATTTAGGAAGCAAGAGGGAATGTGATGAAGCAGGTTGTGTTAGTCAGCGAGCACTACTGTAACAAAGGACCACAGAATGGGTAGCTTGAACAACAGAAATTACTTTCTCACAACCCTGGAAGCTGGAAGTCCAATATCAAGGTGTCCACAGGATTGGTATCTTTTTATTTATTTATTTTTGAGATTGAGTCTTGCTCTGTCGTCAGGCTGGAGTGCAGTGGCTGGATCTTGGCTCACTGCAGCCTCTGCCTCCCAGGCTCAAATGATTCTTATGCCTCAGCCTCCTGAGTAGCCCAGAATACATGTGTGCACCACCATGCTTGGGTAATTCTTGTGTTTTTAGTAGAAACAGGGTTTCACCAAGTTAGCCAACCTGGTCTCAAAGTCCTGAGTCCTGGCCTCAAGTGATCCACTCGCCCTTACCTTCTCATTACAGGTGAGCCACTGCCTCCAGCCTTGCTTTTTTTTTTTTTGAGACAGAGTCTTGCTCTGTTGCCCAGACTGGTGTGTAGTGGCACATCTCAGCTCCACTTCCCAGGTTCAAGTGATTCTCGTGCTTCAACCTCCGAAGTAACTGGGATTCATCTCAACCTTTGCCTTAAGTGATTCTCCTTCCTCAGCCTCCCAAGTAGCTGGGATTACAGGTACGCACCACCATGCCTGGCTGATTTTTGTATTTTTAATAGAGATGAGGTTGTATCATGTTGGCCAGGCTGGTCTCAAACTCCTTACCTCAAGTGATCCACCTGCCTTGGCCTCCCAAAGTGCTAGGATTACAGGCATGAGCCACCATGCTTGGCCCACACAGCTTTGATTACTGCAGATTTGTAGTAAGTTTTGAAATTGGGAAGTATGAGTCCTGTAATTTTGTTTTTTGTTTTCGAGATTGTTTAGCTATCTTGATTTGGGTTCCTTACTAAGATTGTTTGGCTGTCTTGTTTCGGTTCCTTGCATTTCTATATGAATTTTACAATCAGTTTGTCAGTTTCTTTAAAAACAAAAAAGACAGCTGGGCTTTGGTAGAGATTGTATTGAATCTCTAATTAAGGAAGTGTTGCTGTATTTATAATATTTGATCTTCCAGTCCATAGAAATGGGATGTGTTCTGTTTCAGGTCTCAAATTTCATTCAGTGATATTTTCTAGTTTTCAGTGTAGAAGTTTTATACTCCCTGGGTTAAATTTATTACTAAATTTTTTGTTCATTTTCATGTAAATGAAATTGTTTTCTTAATTTTTTTTTTGTCTTTTTCTTAATTTTTTTTTTTAAGTTGGCTGTTAGTATATAGAAATGCAGGTGATTTTTGTATATTGAACTTATATCCTGCAAATTTGCTGAACTTGTTTATTAGTTTTAAATATAAAAATTAGTTGGTTCCTTAGGATTTTCTATATGCAATGTTGTGTAATTTTGTAAATATAGGTTTACTTCTTCATTTCTAGTCTGGCTGCCTTTTATTTTATTTTATTTTACTTTACCTATTTGTTCTGGCCAGAACCTCTAGCACAGTGTTGAATAGAAGTGGTGAGAATGGGCATCCTTGTCTTGTTCCTCATCTTTGGAGAAAGGCTTTCAGTATTTCATTATTTAGTATGATGGTAACTATGGGTTCATGTAGATGTCCTTTATCAGGCTGAGGACATTCCCTTCTGTTCAGGTTCCTTGTTGTTTCTTCTTATTAAAGGATGTTAGATATTGTTGTCAAATGCTTTTCTGCATCTATCGATTGTGTGATTTTTGTCCTTCGTTACATTAATATGGTATAATTGACGGGTTTTGTATGGTGAACCAACTTTGCAGTCCTAGGATAAATCCTACTTGTCATGTTATATATGTTGTCATCTTTCCTTTTTAATTGTTGGAACAGCTGGATATGGTGGCTCACACCTGTAGTCCCAGCACTTTGGGAGGCCAAGGTGGGTTCACCTGAGGTCGGGAGTTTGAGACCCGCCTAGTCAATATGGTGAAACCCTATCTCTACTAAAAATACAACAAGTAGGCTGGGCGAGGTGGCTCACACCTGTAATCCCTGCACTTTGGGGGGCCCTTAGATGGATCATGAGGTCAGGAGTTCAAGACAAGTTATCCGGGTGTGGTGGTAGACACCTGTAATCCCAGCTATTGGGGAGGCTGAGGCAGAGAGTTGCTTGAACCCAGGAGGCAGAGGTTGCAATGAGCTGAGATTGCACTACTGTATCCCAGCCTGGGCAAGAGAGCAAGACTCAGTCTCAAAAGAATAATAATAAGAAGTTAAAAAAATTGTTGAAACACTTTCCTAGTGTTATGTACTTACCCATTTAGCTTGTATGTTCATAGGGGATATTGATCTATAGTTTCCATGTAATGACTTTGTCTTACTCGGTGTCGGAGCAATGCTGGCATCAGAGACTGAATTACAATGTGTTACTCAGTTTTTGAAGAGTTTGTAAGGATTGGTGTTATTTCTTCTTTAAACACTTGATAGAATTTACTAGTGAAGGCATTTGAGCCTGAACCTGGCTGCTTTTTGTTTGTTTTTTTTGTGTGGAAAGTTTTGAGTCAGGTTTAGTAGCTTGTGTCTTTCTGTTTTCCAGGTCATCTAGGTTATCTAATTTGTTGGTATTCACTTGCTCATAGCATTCTGTTACATTCTTTTTATAAGGTCAGCAATAGTTCATTCTTAATGCTAGTAATCTCTCTCACTCTCTCTTTTTTTTTTTTTTTTTTAAATGACACAGAATCTTTCTCTGTCACCCAGGCTGGATGGAGTGCAGTGGCGCGATCTTGGCTCACTGCTGCCTCTACCTCCTGGGTTCAAGCGATTCTCCTACCTCAGCATCCTGAGTATCTAGGATTATAGGCATGTGTCATCATGCCTGGCTAATTGTTGTATTTTTAGTAGAGGTAGAGTTTCACCATGTTGGCCAGGCTGGTTTCACACTCCAGACGTCAGGTGATCTGCCCACCTCGGCCTCCCAAAGTGCTGGGATTACAAGCATGAGCCACCTGGACTGGCCTCTTTCCTCTTTTTTAATGCAAGTATCTACAGTTATAAATTTCCTTCTAAGCACTGCTTTAGGCACATCTCACAAGGTTTTGTGTGTTGCATTTCCGTTTTCATTCATTTCAGGGTGTTTTCTAGTTTCCCTTGTGATTTCTTTGATTCAGTGGTTATTTAGGAAGTTCTCTTTTAATTTCCACGCTTGTGAATTTGGCAAGTTTCTTTTTGTTTTTGAGATTTCTTTTTTTTGTGGTTGGAGAACATATTTTGTATTATTTCTGTCTTTTAAAATTTATTACTTTAGGAACTGACATACGGTATATACAGCAGAATGCTAAATGCAATGTATGTTCTGAAAACAATGTGTATTCTGCTATTGGATGAAGCTTTCTATAAATAGGCATCCGATGGCTCTAGTTGGTTTATACAGCTTTTTAAGTCTTCGGATTCCTTTTTGATCTCTGTCTAGTTGTTCTATCCATTATTGAAATGGGGGTATTGAAGTCTCCAACTATTATTACTGGATTATTTCTCCCTTCAGTTCTGTCAGTTTAATATTTCTTTTAATGTTCATCAGGTGGCAACACATTTTGTTAGCTTTCCTTTATCTGAAAATGTCCTTAATTCATTATCATTTGTGAATAATATTTTCATGGATATATAGTTCCAGGATGACAGCTGCCTTTTTCTCCTGCAACTACATTTTTTTTTTTTTTTTTTTTTTTTGAGACAGAGTCTCGTTCTGTCGCCAGGTGCCAGGCTGGAGTGCAGTGGCACAATCTTGGCTTACTGCACCCTCCGCCTCCCGAGTTCAAGTGATTCTCCTGCCTCAGCCTCCCGAGTAGCTGAAACTACAGGTGTACGCCACCACGCCCAGCTAATTTTTGTATTTTTAGTAGAGACAGGGTTTTACCATGTTGGCCAGGATGGTCTCCATCTCTTGACCTCATGATCCGCCCACCTTGGCCTCCCAAAGTGCTGGGATTACAGGCGTGAGCCACCGCGCCCGACCTCCCCCACCAACTTCTTAAAGGTGTTTTCCAGTCTCTGTCCTTTGTTGCATTTCCTGAGAAGTCTGTAGTTATTCATGTAATTTCTCTATTATAAGAGTAAGGTGGCTGGGCACGGTGGCTCACACCTGTAATCCCAGCAGTTTGGGAGGCCGAGGTGACTGGATCACCTGAGGTCAGGAGTTTGAGACCAGTCTGACCAGCATGTTGAAACCCCATCTCTACTAAAAAGACAAAAATTAGCCAGATGTGGTGGCAGGCACCTGTAATCCCAGCTACTCAGGAGGCTGAGGCAGGAGAATCACGTGAACCCAGGAGGTGGAGGTTGCAATGAGCTGAGATTGCACCACTGCACTCTAGCCTGGGCAACAAGAACGAGATTCTGTCTCAGAAAAAAAGGAAAAAGACTAAGGTGTCCTTTTCTGGCTTTGTCAAGATTTTCTCATTATCTTTCACTTTCAGAAATTTAAGTGTCAGGGTATGGCTCTTTTAAACTTATTTTGTTTAGATTTCATAGAATTTGTTGAATACGTAGTTATGTTTTTCTAAAGATGATTAGTTTTGGGGCATTATTTCTTCATGTATCTTTCCTGCCCCATTTCTTCCTCTTTTCTGATTGGCTATATAGCTTTTTCTAATTAGCCGTATACCAGAGATTGGCAAAGTTTTCTGTAAAGGGACAGATAGTAAATATTTTAGGCTTTGCGGGCCATATGGTCTCTGCTCAACAGCTCAACTCTCCAGTGCTGTGAGAAGAGAAGTAGA